CTGCTTTGTTTCAGAGGTAATGTTAATGATCTTAGTCATGTAACAATAGTTTTGCTAGAAAAAGTGAAATAGTCAAGCCTTGAAAAATGCAAACTATGGTATTAACTTCACTGGGAGGGACCGTGAATTGCTTCTTGTGTATTTAAAGAATCAGAAGAAACAAACAAGGGTGAGATTAATTAGGAGTGGGAGTTCACGACTCCCTCTCCAAATGAATGAGGAACAGCACTGGATGAGACACAGCAACAACACTGAAATGTTTCTTGGCATTTTCCATCTGAGGTCTGAGAGAATTTCCTTTGAACCTCAGTGTCCCCAAGATATTCATAAACCACCTCTCTGGTGACCCAGTGTGATGATTAACTTGTGTCCCCAAGTTTCATTATCAAGCTTTTAATCTAAGCCTGAACTCTCTGATCTGTCATCTGAAGTAACAAGGGAATTTGCAGCAGGGTTTTTCCCAGCAAAGAAAAACAATTCACTTGCTAAAGACATTATGTGGGAGATATAACTTACAGATACAAGAATTTGGAAATTTGGGTGTTTACTCTGTAGCTTTGGAGGTCACTGATGTTCTGCTTCATTTTGAGGCTGGATCTTACATTTCTAGTGCTGTAAGTAGGGCAACAGATCTCAGACAAAAAGTCCACGAGAGTCTCCCATTAATTTTGATGGGGTTTGAGGATAAGTACTGCTAAACGTGACATAATGTAGGAATTTGCATTTTCTTAAGCCTTGTCTAGACTTGGATTTGGGAGGTATGATGCACCATGTGAATAAGGCAATGTAGTTGCGGTTTTAATGCACAGCTTTAACCCTGGTTGTTTGCAGGAGGTTATTACTACATTGTATTTAGCACTTGCTAATCCAGAAATCATCGATGGTAAAAGAAGAGAGAGGTTAAAAAACAAAGGCAGGCTGATCTTGTGGTTATACTTTTCAGATGTGGCCTCCTGCTACAGGCAGGGCTATTTTGCCTCTGCCAGTACAGAAGTAAGGGCACTGCAGCCGTACCATTACCTGTGTGTTGGCCGTGAGGGTAAGAAGCTGTGGGGCTGCGCGTGAATGTTGAGGGTGTGGGTCTACAAGTGGTTAACGAGTAGGTGAGCTGGGATGGCACATGGGGAGTGGGGAGGTGAGTAAATGGCAGTAGGGAGAGACCTGAGTGTGCAGCCGTCAGGTATAGATTTGGGAGTGGGGAAGAACAGTGGTTATGGTACTTGGGAGTGGGTGAAGATAGGGCGGTTGTGGTAGCGGGTTCAGTGCAGGGACATAGCTTGGTGCCCAGAAAGGCCAAGCATATATTTCTTAAAAAGCCATCAATGCCTCCATGTCCTTCAAAGCCACACAAAGAAGTGTCCCCTGCCAGTAAGCCCAGTGCCCAGTACTTTCACTGCATGGATTGGCCAGTCAGGAAGGCTGGGGGTCCAATGGCTCCAAAACACAAGCTCTTGCCTGGAGCTCTCACAAAGAGTCAGGAGCTGAATTTCAAGCAGAGGAGTCTGGCAGCCCTTCTCTCACACTATCACCCCTCCTTAGTGCATCCTCCAGACCTGTTTGATGTAATTGATACTTGTTCCTATTAGCCAAGAACTATCGTTCAGGGCAGATCCACCATCCTGAACTAAGTACATACTACAGAGGAGGCAGAGGGGCTCATGGTTACCTCTCATATAAAATTCTCTTCTGTGAATTGTCCTTCACCACCTCCATCTCCACACTGCTGTTGGTGGCACTTTGGTACACTGAGACAATGGAACCAAGACAAAAGATTGCTGCAAGTGCTATAGTTAGGAGGGGAAGATTGACTCTGAAGTTCTACCAAGCCACTATGATGGGCTACTCTGGATACTGAAGTTACACTTCACTGATTCCTCAATCTTGACCCCAAACCAGCTCTTTCAACTAAGTAGGACCAAAGTGCTCTGACTTCTAGCCACAAAGATCAGTGTTTGATACATGAATTTATAGGAGACCTGACAGAAATTAATGTTAACCCAGATATGTGATTTGGGTCTACAGCTGCCTAGGATAAATTCCTGGTTTTTCCCCAAACTGACTTGAAAGTTCATCTATTTGAGTGCTGCTTAGAGAATCACCAAAGTTGGCAGAATATGTCATGTAAAAATGCAGGTATGACTTCCATTGTTATTTGAACTTTGTCTCATGAACCAGGAGTTGCTTTTTCTTTACTGCACTCTGTCCCCCTTGCTCTGCTCCTCAGTCCGTCATGAAGTCACCAGTCGTGTAAATGTCCATGCAAACATACTGAACATGAGTCATGAGGCATTTGTTGATATTTATTAAATTGTGGTTCATATCTTTGGAGTACATGGTATTGTACTTCATGGATGTGGCTTTATTTCTGTTACTACAATGTGGAATTAATTGAGAATATTAAAGTTTGTGTTTAAAAAACTGATAATCCTAACTTTTATTTATGGAGGCAACATTTTCATATCCACTCTCTCCTAATGGCAGTATCCTTTGTGAAGATGTGATCGACACATTTAGGTAAATATTATTCCTCCAGCACACATAGTTTCCATTGCAATTGATCCCCTGCTGCTTCCTTCCAAGCACTTTCCTCTGTTACATATTCCACAATAGTGGCTGAAATACTGATCAGCAATAGCAAAGACAAATTGACTCCAGCAACTGGGAGCTTTAAGAGCAGCAAACGTTTATATCTGTTTTGTACATACTGTAGTTACTGAAATACAGTTTTTAGGCGTGCACTGAAATTTTCACTGGCATTGAAAGTCAAAGTTGTTTAAGGCAGTTATAATTTAATAAAAGGATAGAATGAATAAAGACTGACTGAGTGAGATGGGACATAAAAATAGTGCACTACAAAACAGCCACATGGGCCCAAAAGCTGCAGAGAAGATCCTTGCTCCCACAGCCTCCCCTTCAGGCTGGGAGCAGCCCGGGTGCTCCACACAGACCTGGTGCAGAAGCTGCACCTGAGCCGCTCGCAAGCTGCCTGAAGCTTAGGGGTCACAAGCTGCTCACTGAAGGCTAACAGAATTAATTTTACATGCTTTTAAACTGGCATGGCCATTGGAAAAGGTTCCTTAGCAGATGATAACAGCAAGAAACTGGGGTGATAAAACATTTTCCCTCATCCAGCATTCACTGGGCACCACTGGGCTGCAGTGGGATGTCACCCCAAATCAGACGAGCTGGCATGCCCATCAGGTGTTAAATGCCATGTGGGACTGCACAGAGGCACAAGGAGAATTGGTACATACACTTTTACCAGCTTATTTGAGGGATCTTCTAAGTCTCTAGGACATAAACAGAATTGGACATAAATGTCTGCCTGTGCCCTAGCTGTTTGTCTGTGCTAGCATGATGTAGGTGCTCACAGGAATCCAGGCTCTAAGAATGCACCTACTCATTTACAGGGGGTGGTCTGAATGTCCTACAAAAGCCACTTGCTGTGGCAATGGCAGATCCAGCACTGGGATTCTTTGAAGCCTGGCTTCCCTTTATTATTATTATTAGTATTAGTATTTATTAGTATTAGTATTATTACTATTACTATTATTATTATTAGTTCAGCATCATGTGCTCAAAACTTTCAAAGCAGGATGTTACGGTCTTGCTACCAGGCTTGAACTGCAGGTTTGATGCTGGAACCTACATTTATACAAGTGACAATGCCATAGGGGGTGGACCTGACTGCCTGGCAGACATTGAAAACTTGATCGAAAAATCTGCAACATAAAAGGAGCATCACATGACTAAAATATACACTGTCTTTTTACCAGAAGAGATTTTTAAGATGGTAAGATCTTTCTAACACAAACTGCAGTCACATCAACTTCTGCATTCTCTCTGTTTCTTCCTCTTTGAAATGACACCAGGCTGGCCCTTGCCCTTGCTTTGGGGAATGTACCTCTGATTTGTATCTCAGGAGTCTGAGAGATGTGGAATAAACTCTCATTACCTCTTGCTAATGTAATGCACCACGCAGCAGATGCCTGAAGCCCTGCTCAGTGGGGTCAATGTAAAACAATAGCAAACCCCTGGCAGGACCTTTCCTTCGACTTCCACAGGACCCACTGTAATGGAGAGAGCGGTCTGTGGCTGTCCATTTAAAAAGCCTTGCCTTCACAAAGCCTGTAGCAATGTGGCCATCACTAAGAAGAGCCTTCTTGTTGTGCTAATTAGGAATTCTCATTAATTGATATCACATCAGAGTCCCTGAGCTTCAGTGTAAGCAGCAGGGGTTACAATGCATGAGAAAGTCCCCATGCAATGGCATTGCTGTGGCTTAAGAGAGTACTAATGAGCTGAAAGGTGAGATCCTGCACTAGGAAACACGGGACCAGGTCATGAAAAACACAGTGCAATCCCAGGTGAGAGCTCAGGCATCTTTAGTTGGGGGTACCCCAGCTGCTACAGGGGCCCCACATGGAAATAGCCACACCATTGCAGGCTACAAGGAGTCAATGGCAACATCCTGAGAGCTGTCATTTCTACCCAGCAGCTTGAGCTAAGTGGAAAACTCAATGTGGCATCGCATAGAGGCTGCAGCATGGCTCTCTGGCACAAGACCTGGGACCTTCGCCCGCAAGGCGCAAGGTCAGCAGTGATTCGGGCTCTCCCCGCCCCTGCTACAGCAGAAGAGGTACAGTATGGTCACTGCTTCCCAGAACTCCTGCCAGCGGCACATTACTTTGCCATCTCTTACAGTTTCAAATTATACTAAGCCCCACCTATTTTTCAGAGGCCACATTACAATTTTAGCAAAGGGCAGATGCAGGAGGGTCTTGGGACCAGACTGTCTCTTCTACACCTGTAAGCCTCAGAGCACTCTCCAAGACCTAAGAGTTCAAGGGGCTCAGGCACATTCATACACTGCTTAGAGCACTCCCAGGCTGTCCTCAGGAGTGGATAATGATGAGAGGTGAGCTGAAGGTGGGAAACGCCTTTGTTCATTTGGTTGCAGTAAAGACTTAGACAATTAGAGAAAGACTTTTCACAGCATGTTTAACCATAGTCATTCTTTATCATACAGTCACAACTTGCACATAAATAATTTGAATGTCTCGCTCTTTCATGGAAAGTAACAGAGAAAAACCTTCAAGGTTGATACATGGGAGCTGGCATTACAAATCACATAGGGTCAAAGCCAAATCCCGCATCCAAACATGCAGACATTTGGTTCCAGAGTTGACTTATATACCACCTCCCTCCCCTGACCTGGAAGGAACTGAATCAGGACCCTTCTTGGAAAACCACCCCCATCATCAACCTCTGGTAATGGATCCCAACCCTGCAACCTTGGCCCCATCTGAAATCCAGTCCTTTACATTTGCAGTGGTATGAAATCCTGGTAGGCAGCTACAGAAGGAGCAGTTGCCCTCTCCGAGGTGCATTATCCATAGGTTTTCAGAGGTGACTGAACTAACTAAGCCTACCCAAGCCAGATCCCTTGCAGCTATTTCTATTTCTTGGCTGAACAAGTCGGTTACTAAAGCAGCAAGCCTAGGTATTGCACAGTCTAGTGACATTTGACTAAAACTGGGAGCATTTAGGCAGTACAGCAGTGTGGGAACATATAAAAAAGCTAGCGGGGCTGGAATGAGAAATCCGAGCTTTGATCGAGGAGGCAGCAGCATTTGACTCTATCTGAGCCAGCAGGGAGATCCCATCCCAAAGCAAAATAAAACATGTCATTCTTTTCAGCAGATGAAATTCTCCCCAGTGGTTTGTTCCTCCCAGGATCAGTTTATGTGATCTCGCTGTTTTTAAAGTCTTTTCCCTCAGGAAGTCGATCGTTTAATATAGACTACAGCGTTAACATCCGGTATTAAATCAGTCACGCTATTCTGAAACAAGGCAAGTGGGCGTCCTGGAAAGGAAATAAAAACACAAGTTTACTCAAGGAGGTATGTTCACCTTGACTCATGCTATTTATTGCAAAAGACACAGGAACACATTGCTTGCTCAGCAGAGGGTCACTCCATCCTGCCACAGATGTGTTTTACACTTCCAGTAAACTCCAGATGCTAACTGAGTGTGCACAAGGAGTACACAATAGGGCCTCAGAGGCTTTTACATCTTGCTTTGCTTTACCAAGGTGCCCTAAGAGGGACTAGCATGTTCCCACAGCTCCCATTAATCCAACTGGCAAGGTTAGGCACTTGGCATTTAAGCCACGCACTTTTGGCATCTTTGGCTGCAAAGACGCACTGTGAAAAACTGAGGGAAACGTTAACAGGCTGCAGGCATGGTGTGGGATGGCAGGGATCAGCATCCAAGCCAGGCACTGCAGAAAGGGTCTTCTGTCCCATGTGCTGCTGCTTCTGCACCCCCACTGCCGTTTTAAGCAGGGCTCCTTCCTGCCAGGGAACAGCCGCCCTGCGAGGAAGCCAGATGCGATGCGTTAGGCAAAACTAACACAATCCATGGCTGGTGTGAAACCAGCTCAAAGAGGTTTATGTTGCATCGGTGTAAGGGCTCGTGTCACTAGTTAGTCACACACCAGTTGCACACAAACCCATGGAAAAGCTGCCGTTTTGGTAGTTTTGCCTTTTTTTTTTTTTTTTTTTTTAAATGTAATTTGAGCCAACAAGACACAATTCTTCAGCACCACCGTGAGTAAAAACACTCATTTACCTCATTCAGTGTTTCACTTTTAAGTAACAATTTAGCCCACAATTGAAGTGTCAGCTAAATGAGGTAATTTATAGTAATTCTGAAAACATGCTAGACATAAGAAGCTATAATCAGAGCTAATTACAGGGTCATTTTGGAAATCCATTGGTTTGGGGCTTTAGTTTTGATAAAGGGGATAACAACTTGTAAGCTGTGATTCCTTCAATTATAACAATAGGAACCACCTTCTTTTACATAGATTCTTTCATCTCTAAAAACCCCACAGCCTTTTGCAAACTATACATACCACATGAATTGTTTAGCCTAACACCAAAGTGAAGCCATTCCTGCATGAACTAAGTAACTGTTTAATGATACCTAGCAGTCCTGTGCAAAATTTGTAGAGGAAAGAAGGTGTGGGAGGAGAATATAATTTCTCTCGCGTCTCCTTAGAAATAGTCAGGGGATCCTTGGATGCCCACTGCAGCAGCTATCTCATCTTGAGAATAAGGAAGGGCAGCTTTTATATGCGCTCGTAGACTCAAGGCACTACGGAGGAGAGCAGCAGCATCGTCCCCACTCGTGACTGAGGAAGCAGGGGCTCCATGTGGCAGTATCCTGGTATATCTGCCCAAGCTCACCTGTCCACGTCCTGCGCTGGGTAACGATAAAACTTCGACACTGCAACTGGGAGTTACAAATTGCGGCGGCTTCCTCAGCACTGTGAACGGAGAGCAGGCACCCCAGGTGGCTGTAGGAGGGCCAGCACTTGTAGTCTTCCCCTTCTGCTGTTCGGAAGCCCTTTAGGGAGATGTAGTCTGGGAACAGAAAGAGGGTATTTAGGGAAACTCTTTAAGAGACTTTCAGAGACTAGTTACACTACACACTTAGCATGCTGCACTTCAGTGAAACTCTTAAAGGAAATGGGATAGTGATTAAACTGACCTGCTTAAGATGGAATGTGTGGAGCTGCAAAACTAAAAGAAACCCAAATCCTGACTTTTGGTTCTGCTATGGAGCACAGGACACCAATTCTCCCCATAGATATGAAAGGAGGCAGAGCTCTCAAGGGTGAAGAGACAGGGGAGCAACCACAGGGATGGGTGAGAGGGGGAGGCTGCTGTGCAGACCCACAGACCCTCTACTTCTTCTCCAGAGAAGCCAACCTCACAATGGCCTCTCCTACACCTCAGTCCCAACAGCAGAACCAGCTCATCATAGATCCAGCATGTGTCAACCCACCCATCATGGTGCCACCCATAGGTACAGGAGATTTAGGAAGCCCAGTGAGGGGAAAGGGAGGCCAGATCCTGCTTCAGTGGGATACAAAGGACTTGACAAGCCTGAGCAGGTGATGTTCAGGCTATTGCTCACTGACAGCTAAGAGTCTCTCCCCACCTTCCCACACTTCTAGAATGGTGATCATTTTGGCACATTGCTACTGGGCCAGCTGAGAAGCCAACAGGCAGATGTTATTGGAAAATTCTAGTAATTCCTGTTTAAGTTGCTGGTCCTTCAGTGCAAACGACCAGATATTTTTGTTCATAATGGTACAAATTCCAGTTCTTCCACATGTAAAGAGATTTCCTTACACAAGCCACCATCACCACCCCACTATCTCCAGTGAACGCCCAGGAAAATGAAAGCCTCAGTAACCACTAGACTTTTGAAGCCTTCCTTATGATTAGCCTTATCTCTACCACTGAATGGGTCCTTTTCAAAGCAATGCACCTCATAAAGGCTCATTTATCCATCCGCAGGTACAATAGGGTGGTCTTCAGAAAGAAGAAATTTAGAGGGCACAAAGGCCTCAGCCACTCTGCCACACCCATCTCAGTGTTGTCACCTCCCCACTGTACATTCCCATAATAAGCTGTGCTCAGCCATCAAAAGCCACCAAGTGAAATGGCAAGTTTCAATATCAGCCCAGAAAACTGGCCTATTAGTCCATAGGATAAGATGACACTGAAGAGAGATAGGAGACGTTCAGTTTGCTACTCTGGTCTAATTGCTTAAGCTATCCCAAATATATTAACTTGAAACACTGATGCACATTATGAGAAGAGTATTAGAAGCAGTGCAAACAAATGCCCGTATGTAGGCCAGACTGTCTGCACTGCACTTACTTTGCAAAACAGTGCAATCATGCATAGATCCCATGAAAAAAACAACAAAAGGCTGCTCAAAAAAAAAAAAAAAAAGGTACTTCTGGTGCTTTTCCTAGTGGCCATATACCACCTGACTGTATGGCAGATCAGAATTTGACCAGTTACCAAGTTCTTCACTCCCTCAGTAGTTATGTTACCTTTTAAAAGAAGAGGTCTTTTCTGCAGATAGAGCCCAGACTTGTACATATGTAAAACCTTTTCAAAAGCTTTCAGGGTCTCATTTATTCCATATCGTAAATCACCTACATTTAAAGAAAAAGATTACAAAGATGAGTAATCCCATGAAATACCATTTAGAGACTTCTAATAAAGAAGTTTATGAGTATTAGCTGGTACCTGTTGCATTCAGAATATCACTCAAAAAGGGCCGTAAAGCCGGTGGAGCCGAGTGTGGCAAAAGATAGGTGAAAAAATACCTGCAAAAAATCCCACAGACTGATTAGAATACAGTTGCTTAATTTCCCTACTGATTAAGTTGTCTACATTTTCCTGTGACTCAATTATCCATATGTAACTAGTAAGTCTGCTTTGGTTCTTGAGTTACATTTGAGCACCTTGCTGGCATCTCACAGACCGTTCTTGTGAGCTGGGCTGAAAGCCTGGCCCTTCCAGCACAGCAGGCTGTCAAGCACCACGCGAGATCTGCCTTGCAAAGGCTCGTGCAAGGGAGCTTTCCCTCATTCCCAAGGGCTATTTTTGTACACTAAGCAATACATTTCCCACCCCCAAAAAGACCTGCATAAAAGAAGCCCCATGCAAGACCTTGCTCTTGCATTGAAAAGGTTTGCCATTCTTATTGCCCCTGGACAGGCCGGACCACTCATTCCCTGAACCTTCCAGAGAACTCTCATTCTGCAAGAGACAAATGCGCCACTGCAAGGCTTCAATAATCTATTCAGGGATTTGCCCTTCAACACCAAATGCTGAAAATTCAGGCTCCCTTACTAAGTCCTTCTGTGTAAATATCCAGCTGCCAAGGCTTCCCCCCGGTACTTGACCTGCCAAGCATCAACAGTGAGTGGAAGTCATCATGATTTCAGCTGGTGGCTACCCAAAGTGCTGCTGCAGTCTCAGCCCACTGCCCATCACCTATTTCATCTCTCTTCCATAGGTGTCCATAGTCTCCATAGGGAGACTGGGAGTTCAAGGGAAGAGTTAGTCAGCCTGTTCTCAACAACTGGGGCTCAAAGCTGGTGGGCTCTGGCAGGCAGCTCGTGCTGCCACTGTTTTCAGCAAACACAGGCCATGGATGTCAAATGCCAGGGCTTGTTTGGCAAACAGTAAGTTCACAGGTGCAACCTTTGGGGGAAGTTTCTGGAGGGCATTGGGGAAAGGGAGCAGCAGAAGAAAGATGCCTTAATTCTCACCAGACAATAACTACACTATTTTCCTGCCTTATAAGGAAAATAAACTTGCTTCAAAGCGATCTGTAAGTACCCTTTGACGGAGGTGAGCAAGAATCACTGCATGGAAGAAATGTGAGATGCTAGAGGCTACATGGCAGTGTGTGAGCTGAACCACCCCACTTTTCCCCCCATCTTGCTCAACATACCGATATGCATTGAAAAGATTCTTCTTTTCATTTATTCCTTCACACTTCCCAACTGCAGAGCATTTGAGAGGAAAGCTTTTTGTAGGGAAGTCAAGTGTGCAGTCATTATCTTCCTTGCATGACAGTTCCTCAGTGCTGGCATCATCCATGTCTGTCACTTTTAGGTTTCCATCCACCATAACAAACTGCCTCGGCTGGAAATCCAAGAGGACTATTGAACCCAAGGGGGAATGTGCCAAGTAAAATAGCAGTTTCACAAGACTCAGGCAAATCTGAGAAAGAGAAGATGAATATGCATGGGAAAAACAGATGAAAAACAGCTATTAAATTGGAAGTAGAACAAAGGGGAGGGCATTCAATGAAATTAAAGGCAAAAAAAAAGCGCATATACTACTTAAAAGGTAATTATGTGTAATGCTACAAAATTTATTATCAACATTACCACAGGATTTGACTGGTAAGTAGTTTAGCAACATTTTTTAAAAATGTGCATATATGAAGAGAGACATTTGCAGTTAGAGGAACTAGAGGAGGAGGCTTTGAGGAAAACAATAGCAGCCTTCATGTTTCAGGAGCTATATTGATTTGCTAGCTGAAATCAGAAGGGTTTTTTCCCACACTGGCATAGAATTAATACATTCCCCTCCCTTCCCCCATGCTGCTCCATACAGACTCAGGCTCCATGGTCATTAATACCAGATTCATGTCTTGCTGCATCACTCAGCAGTATGAATTTGGGCACACAATCGTGCTTCTGAAGAATTAGCCAAAGCATCCAATGTATTTATTTCCAGCTTTTTTGCTTTCATGTCAACTTTCTGGCAGCAGAGAAATGTCAGACAATACCTGATCCAGCAGAAAACTTGCTAAACGATTTTTGAACAAACTAGAGCTAGAAGAGTGCATTTATATTGAACCAGCACTTTGTTCAAGTAGCTTTTTGCAGCAGTTTTCATTCAGTACCCAGAGCCCTGGCATCAGACAAACTGTATCACCAGGTAGGTGTGCCAGACAGACTTTCGCCACCCCTTGCTGCCTCTGATAGTGATCTGTGCAGGCATGAGGGTTTGTTCACTTGGAACAGCTCACACAATCGCTGGTATCTGATGTGGCTCATCAGAGGGGAATCCCATCCATTTAGACACCCTAATTAGGAAACAGGACTAGATAGTGCCAGTGTAAATTCTGAATTAGTATCTTTATCAGTCAAAAGATTATGAAACTCTTAATGCCACCGCACCAGACCTCACCACCAGCTAATCCAGCATCATGGGTTTCTAGCTCTACAGGAGATTTTGGCACATTTGAGCAGATGAAGTGCTGGTAAAGCTATGTAGAAGACAGTATGAAATAGTTTGTAAGCAGAAGTGGAACTCCACAGGCCAAGAGAAATGATTCTGGAAGCTCTGATGCTATTTTAACTTGATTAGCGAAGCAATTGTAAGAATCCTAGCTTCACGTCCCATAGCTGAGCAAGCTCAGTTGCCACACTCCCCATCTGGCTTGGATGGAGAGGCTCCTCTTCAACATTAAGGACCTCATGCAAGCAGGGATTTTATTTTGGGACTTTTGTTGTGTTTTTATTTTGCTCATAGCATTTCTTATTGACATTAAGGTACCCATGCTTCCACTTAATGCTCTCTTTCCTCCTGGGAACCAGACAAGTAGTAGTGAGCCCCCAGCTGAGATCTTGAGGCAAACTGTAATACCAGCTATAATCAAAATAAGTGCTATGTTGTAAGTCACTTATGTTCCTGGGGATCTTAAGAGTCTCTATGCAGGATTCTTGAGACAAGGCAGATCTCACTAACAGGAATACGATTCTAGCACCTACAGCAGGAGGAAAGCAATTTAGCAGTGTTTGTACTAGAGTCGTACCTGAAGGGCTAAGATTAGAAACATCATACAAACACATGGGAGAGACAGGCTGCTCAGCTCGCTGCCTAAAACAGGTAATACACAGAAAACAACAGACTCCTAGTGCGGTGAGGTGGCTTTCGCTACACAAGCCCTTCTGTGGAGTGGAACAACATAGAGGGAAAACTAGCAATAAAGCGTAATACTGAGTATTAAAGGCCACTCCAGCCCCGAGCAGGATGTTGTGGCCATCACCTCACAGATGTAGCTCTTTAATATCTCTCTAGAGAGAAGGAATATAAGGAGAGACACCAGGATGGGGCTATTTGAATGTGATTTAAAAGGAGTGAAAGCAAAGCGATTTAAGTACAATTTGCGGGAGCAAACAAAGTGTCAGCATGACAATCCCGTTTGCCCCAGCAGTCACCACGGGCTCTTCGCATTCACCCAGTTTGCGGTCTAAAAGGAACTGATAAAACTCTCTTTGTTTTGTTTTCTTACTTTAAATCTCTCCTCCCAGGGGGTCTGCAGAAGCTGAATCATCTCCACGGGGGACCCCAGCTCCAGCATGGCTGTGACCCCTATGTCGGGATGTCCGCTACTGTCATAGCATTGACCGTGCAGCTGCCGGGAGGGAAAGGACAGACTGCCAGCGCGCCGCCGCCGCCCGCGCCAGCAGGTCGGGGGGAGGGGGGGCAACACGCTCGGATCCACTCAGCACCGTGCCCCGCACCACCCCCCCCCCCCCCCCCCGAAAAATTTCCATGCCGAGCGAACACATCCAGCACCCCCCCTCCTCTCGAAAAATTTCCGTACCGAGGGAGCACATCCCGCACCGCCCCCCCCCCCCCCCCCCCGCAATGTACCTGGACAATACCGGGATGCTGCAGGCGCTGCAGCAGCGTCACCTCCTTCATCAGCTTGTAGGCGGCCAGGCGGCGGCAGCCCGCCGGCGCCCGGTACCGCTGCACGCACTGCCGCACCTCCCGGCCCGCCCCGTGCACCGACTTGACGGCGACGGCTCCGCCGCCCGCTAGCGCCGCTCGGGCCACCACCTTGGTGAAGCCCCAGCCCAGCACGCTGACGCTGGTCGCCAGGCTCAGGTCGCCGCAGCCCAGCCCGCCCGCCGCCGCCGCCGCCTCCCCGCCGCCCGCCGCCGTCAGGCGCCGCAGGTCGCGCCGCCTCTGCCGCAGCTCCTCCCGCAAACCCGGCGGCAGCGGGAGCGGCTGCGGGGAGCCGGGCTGCCCCCCCCCGCCGCCCCCGCCGCCGGCCGTCAGCGCCAGCAGAGCCAGGGCGGGCAGCGCCAGCAGCGCCGCCGCGCTCAGCCGGGCGCCCCGCCGCGCCGCCGGCATGGGGAGCGGGGCTGCGCCGCACCGGGCTGCGCCGCACCGGGGCTCCGGCCGCGCCGCCGCCCGCTCTGCCGCCCGCCCTCCGCCGCCGTGGGGAAGCCGAGCGGCGCCCGGGAGGCGGGGCGGGGCTGCGGGGCGCCCGGCAGCCCCCACCCCCGCCGGCACGGCACAGCGCGGCCCTCCGGGGCAGCCGCTTCCTCGGGCAGGGGGTGGCGGGGGCGGCCCGGACCGCCCGGGGAAGGGAGGGGAGGGGACGGGAGGGGAGGGGTGGCGGCGGAGCCGGGTTTGGGAGGGGCGAGGTGGCCCCGGGGTGCGAGGGAGCGGTAAGCCCCGGCGGCCGCCCGCTCTACCCTCCCGACGGAGGCTGGTTGCGCGGGCGTGAATCTCGTCAGGCCTGGCCAAATTTACCGCAGATGGTATCCGAGGGATGTAGAACGGATTGAAATTAGTAAGAACTGAGATATCACGGTCCCATGCCTTTGGACAGTCTCAGGTCAGGTTTCTAAGAAAAGCAAACGCTGGCAGCCTCTCTTACGAGAAGGATAAACCCTGTTAGCTTGAAACAGCAATACACTGGCTAAAGCATGGAGTTGGATTTCCAGAATAAACCTCACTAAAACACTCCTCCGCCAAAACTAGCCAATCCAGGCAGAAAACGCAACTTTGTCATTTCTTGGTGAGATCTATCTGCCTGGTGACACAGAGCCAGCTCAGGGCTGCCCTCAGCCACACATGTGCCTGCACAGAAGAGGGAAGCATTCCTCAGGTGCCTGCGAGGAAGCAGGATGGGGTGCCCGCCTTGGCTCTGTCACCTGTTTTATCATGTGTCTGCACCAGGTGCTGCTGTGCAGAAAGTCAGTCGGGCTAGCTTAGGGCAAAGGCAGATGAGGTTTATCTGCTTCTCCTTCAGACAATATGCAGTTAACTCTCCTCACTGAGTGGCCTGACACACCAGCCCAATGAGTTGACTCACTTTTTTATTTACCTTTACGCTACTGGGTTAGAAATTAAAATAATGGTCTGCCTCTCTGACTGGTTTGCTTCAGGTTCTGCCACAATTTCTTTGGTGGCATAACTAGCCTGAGAGACCCCCACCAGAAAGGGCGCAGGGTGATGCACAGCCCGGTACTGTAACCTCCTCCTGACAGCACCCCTGGGTTCGGAAGATGCAGGTCTCATTTTTTCTCTGCTAGCCAGCACAGCTGCTATTTCCATACCACCGCCCCAACCCTGAGGGGCCCAGCTGTGCTACAAGCCTGCAGCTTCTGCCTGCAGCAGGAGCAGGCTGGCGGGCCGCGGTGGGTAAGATTTTACAGGGCTTGTCGTGGCTGTGAGCAAGCAGTGCAACCACTTGGCTCTGCAGTGCTGCTGCTGCCCTTGGACACATTTGCCCATCCTTGCCTCCCTCCATGTACAGCAGTGCCATTGCCTCTCCCCTGACTCCCTCGTGATGCAGAGCACGCACTGCTCAGGCTGCTTTCTCAAGCCACCCCTGCAAAGGAAGCTTTGTGACACCTCTCTGAGAAACACAACTTTAATATCACAGCCTGCGAGATGGAGATTTTCAAAGATTACAGCAGAGCAGCCATCACAACCACAGGTGATCACCAAGAATATTTTAATAGAAATAACAAATATAAGCAATTGCTTATAAATAGCTTCCTTCCCAAAGGCCTGCAGAAAGTTCCCCTCCACTTTTCACCAGTTAAATTTCACTGGAGCGGCCTGTGAGACAGGGTACAAGCAGCAGCACTGCAGCGAAGCACAGTTGCTCTGTAAGGCAGTAGGAAAAATGAACTCCAAATTCACCAGACCATTTTCAGATGACAGAGTTTGGGGAGGGAAGGCAGAGCCCATGGTCTGCCGATATGTGCAAGTAGAAAATCTCAGGCCGTCTGTGCTTATCCTTGCACATACAGGCTGGAGGCTGATCCCAGAACAGCTCTTTCAGTAGCTGAATTTCCTTTGTTGCTTTTTAACCTTAATAGCTCTTTAATTACTGTCCTTATTTTCAAATCAAGTATACATCTGTGTCATATTAATGAATATTCATTGTCACTAGAGAGCTATTAAATGCATTTTTACCTGTGTTTCCAAGGGAATAGATGCCAGCTGAGTGTAGTATTATCTAATTTCAGCCTGTCCTCAGCACTGTAATAATATTAAGACCTATTAGAGAAGACTCACCGATACATAAAAATAATAATGATTGATTATTTATTTGCTTTATGGTAGCACTTAAGGATTCCTGCCAAGATCAAGGCTCTGCTGTACAAGGCTTCTTGCAGACAACAGCACAAGAGGTGGCCTCACCTGACAGAGCTGACACCTTGAATAGGAAACACAGCAAAGTGCTGCAGCAAGGACGTAGCAGGGGAGTACGGTACATGGTCATTTGAGTGTCCTTTAATTCCTTGGAGGGTTTGTGCAAATGAGAGGAGAGGAGGTAACGAGGGAAGAGGTAGAAGGTGAGGTGAGGGAGTCAAAGATCAACCCTTACCAGAAGAGCTGAAAAGACCCCACAGAGCTGGAGTCTTCCCCAGTGCTTGGCACCAGTATGCCCTGCTAGGATCCTTGTGGAGGATACAGCATAATCTCTTACTGGACGCTGCTGGTGCCTCAAGCACTGGAGATGCTCCAGTGTCTGCTTGTAGCTTACAGCGCTGTGATCTTCTGAGGAAATGGAGCAAGAGTGAGGCTTAATTAAATAAAGTCCATATGAAAAGAAGAAAGCAGTTCTTTAACATTTTTACAGTGAGTCTATACTGGAGAAACAACTTCTCCTGCACTAGTCCAGTGAGAACACGAGCATGGGGTAAAGAGTCTAAGACCCTTAGATGGACCTCAGTGTGGGGGCACTATGGATAGGAACCAAATTCCTACAGATGGATCAAAGAAGAGAAGGGCAGCTGGAGTGTGAGACATCAGTATGGTGATGTTTCCACAGTGAAGGATAGGAGATGTGTGGAAAGCAGAATTGCTGAGAGGGGGCCATGGAGTTAAAGAGGAAGGATGAGAGGCAGAAGTTCAGTGTTAGAACAAAACAGCCTGCTAGCAGGGTTAGCCTACCAGTACAGACTGGGTCTAAAGACAGACAGTCTTCAAACTAGTACAGACTGGAACAGTTGAAGTGCCAGATACGTTCCTAGGCACTGACATGTGATCTTCCCCATTAGAGCAGGCCTGGGCCGCTAGCACTCTCCTGACAATTCCTGGTATGATCTGGGAGTCAAGATGTGCCAGACACCATTCCTGATATGCAGGTTGCACATGATAAGAAAGGTAAAAAAGCTCAATAGATACAGATGTTCTGTGCCAGTCCACCTCAGTGCCAGGGAAAGGTCTGAGGCATATTTCCTTCGTTGATATAGATGCCACCTAAATGTTTTGAAGAGAGAGGGGGAGCAGTACCAGCCCTTGGAAAGAGGGGGAGGCCCTGCTCCTAAATACTGTCTCACTCCCAGGATCACTGGGGGGCTGTGCTGGCCAAACCAGAAGGATCAAAAGATTGTTTGTTCTGAGGGCACAAAACCATTGGAGAAGTTCAGAGCAGAGCTTGTGTGTGTTGTGGGCCCTGGGAGGGAGAAAAGAAGTGTCAAACATAGAGCAAACTCCTGTCAGGGAGGAGTCTAGCTGCTCACTGCAGTGGAAGGCAGATAGCTTTGACCATGTCCACCCCAGACCCTGCTGAGGTAGTGGAGCAGGACAGGGCCAGGAGACACTTCAGGGCTTGAATGGGAAATACCTGAGTCAGTATTTCCCGTTTCGTTAAATACCCATCACTACTGATTCACAGATGGACAAAAAATACTTGCTACCTTGCATGGACTTGTGCATGGGCACATGTGGGCATGATGAGCAGGGCAGGGCTTGTCACCAAACATTCCACATGGAGGTCTTAAGTGAGTGTTGTGGTTTGAGCCTGGTTGGCAGCCAACCACCACGCGGCCACTCTCTCTTCCTTCTCTTCTGGCAATAAGAAGGGACAGAGAGCCAGGTTTGGGGTTCGAGATAGGACTGGGATGGGGAAAAAAATCACCCTTTATGGTCACGAGCAAAAGGCAGACTCGTTAGGGGAAGAAAAAAAGAACATACTTTTATTACAGACACTAACAACACGTAACAGAGTAGGACAGTGAGAAACATTGCCACATCTTGAGAACACCTTCCTCCCACCCCTCCCTTCTTCCTGGGCTCAGCTCTGCTCCCGATATCTCTACCTCCTCCCCCAGGGGCGCAGGGGCAGGGAATGGGGGGTGCAGTCAGTGCTGCCACTTTCTCCATCTTCAGTGGGGGGAGCTTCTGGAACTTCTTCCCCCTGCTCCATCGTGGTCCCCCTCTCACAGGAGACAGTCCTCCACAAACTTTCTCTGACATGAATTCCTCCCACGGGCCGCAGCATTCCCCACACTGCTCCGTCATGGGTCACTACCTTCCTCCGACTGGATTCCCTCCCACGGCTGCAGCCCTTCCCGAGCTGCTCCGGCGTGGGACTCCCCCGCATGCTGCAATCCTCCCAGATCTGAATTACAGCAGCGGGGCTGCCTTTTCCCACGAGACCCCGGCCTTCTTCGGGCACAGAACCTTGATTATGCCAAGCAGAAGCCACAGGCCATAAATCAATGTCTGCTCCACGGTAGATCTCCATGGGTGGCAGGGGAGGGCCGCCCTGCCGTCTCCCCACAGGATACAGGGGGGTCTCTGCTCCGGCACACCTCCCCCCTCCTTTCTTCCTCCGTTCCTCCACTGACCTTGGTGTTCACGCAGCTGCAGCAACTCCTCCTCACAAGTCCCACTGCTCATCACCACGTCCCTTCTTAAATACGTTATCACAGAGGCGCAGCTGATGGGCTCAGTTTCCAAACAGAAGTGGAGCTGAGTTGGAGGTGGGGGAGCTTCGAGAAGCTTCTCAGAGGGGGCCTCCCCGATAGCCCCCTCCCCTGCCACCAAAAAAACCCCACCACTCACTCAACCCAGGACAGTGAGAAGGGAAGGCATTGTAGAAAGTTTTCTGAGCTTGCTAGATTTGACCTCCTTATGTCATTTTATTTTGCATTTGCTGAGCCTCCCTGACTCACAGTACTTGTAGCTGAGGGGCTGTGAGTCTACAGCAAGAAACTGAGCTCACAGGGAATAAAACAGAATAAAGGGCCCCCCTTTGGCTTCAGTGTCACCTGGGCGCTGCCTCCAAACCTTACCACAGAACAGGCAGGCAGTGATTAATTACAAATAATGTCATCAAGTGTCCTGCAGAGCAGACCAAAGTATTGGCATTGGCAGGAAGATGAAGAAACTTTAAAATGACCCTACTGAGATGCTGGAAAGATTGTAGTGTCCTTATGCAGGCAGCTTCCCCTGTTTCTCGTCTATGACACTGATCTAAGAGGGGCAAGATCAAGCTCTCGTGTTAGCATAAAAAACTTGGGAAGAAATCCAGGAGTGTGGGGGGAAGTCCTGACTCTGAGCACGTACATGAAAGTCCTGGGCATCAATCCAGAAGAGGGAAGCAAAGAGTTTATAGGTCTGGGAGGGGGATCAAAGAAACCTGCAGTAGCCAGCCATCAGAACATGAGGAAGACTTAAGACACCTCTGATAATGACTCTGCGGAATGAGTGTCGCCACAGGTGCCCTCATCTTTGGGGCCAGCTGCTTACCGTGACTCCTGCCAGCTGAACTTCTGGCTGGCCCTAAAGAGTTCCTGCCTGTCTGCAGGCGTGCAAATCTGGGGCAGGGTGAAAGCAAGAGGAGCTGCTGGAGGGCAGGCTCTTACCTGCAGGGTCCCAGTGCAGGAGCTGTCCTGAGCAGCCTGGCTTTGCTGGTCCGTATAAACCCTGTTGCATCCAGCCTGGAGGCACGCCACACAGGGCTGCACTCGGCCCTGCCTGGGTGGCACCCAGGGAAAAATCACCCCACCAGCTGTTTCCAGATTTTTGCTTTGTCCAAGAGCCAGGAAAAGGATAAGAAGAAAATTAGCTGCAGGTATGATACTTTCCTACAAGCAACTGGGAAGAGCACTGGGGAGACAGACCTTGCTCTGCTTTTTTGCCTTACTGGCCACAATCTCTAGCAGACTGCTTGGCGCAGATAACGACTGCTTGTCTCAGAAGTGAAATAATGTGTTTCTCTTCCCTAGAATAGGTAGAAACTGTCCTTTCCTGTGGTGTTCAAGAAAGCCACAGGCCCCAGGTCTCTTCATAGCCCATGGGAGGCACAGCTGTGTCTCCCTGAGCACTTCTGCCCTGAAGTTTCTCAACAGGGTTTGTCAGGGCCCATGCCAGCACCTGGCTGTCAAACAGGGTCCCAAGGAGCAGGTTTTCTGAACGTGCTCCTTTTTTTTTTCTGGCGGACAAGGGATCACCTCCTGGCTGGGGGTGCAAGATGAAACCTCAAGAACACTGCAGGGTGTTTGCATATCACAGTGCATCATCCACTCCTGCAGTATGACATGCTGGAAAAGTTTAAAAGGAGCTCTCAAGGCTGGGAAATGCTGTTCCCATTGGGTGCATCGACAAGGAGAGCTTGCCATCTGCTGGAAGGTGATCTGCATTGACAGGCAACAGTCTGGCAAGACCTCTTGGGAGTGGGAACAGGAGAGAGGCCTGTGTCAGCAGTCCCTGGAGAGCTGGATGGCATTTGGGCTTGCCGAGAGAGCAGGAAGAGCATCGTCTGAGAGAAGGAAGCACGGATCTCGGGCAGATGAGGTATGACAAAACTCACTGCAGGGTTTTAACATGCTACTACCCCCTCTGAGCCCTCCTTGGAGGTGCCTGCCCCCACTGCAGAGGTAGCAGAAGGGAATACGTGTTTGTGCAACTAATGCATCTCAACTCATTCATTAGTAGTGCAGAGCAGAGAGCCTGTGTGGTGGCGTCTCACAGCTCCACAGCGTGGTTTGCCAACCTGTCTGTCGAGCTGTCTGTGCGCTGTTCACAGCTTCCCCACCACTCCCTGCACAGCTGAGATTCTTCCCTCCCTTTGACATATTCTCAGGCTTTAGCCTTTTTTTACACCACTAACACATCCAGCCTGACTGGCATCGAGCATCCTGCTCCCAACCACATTAGCTCCCAGGAGCACACAACCAGCTGAAGAGTCCTGTTTTCCCAATCAGATTTTATTAACATCTGGGAGGATATAAACAGATCTTCAGCACAAAGGATTGAAGAGCTGGTCTACCAACAGATGGACTAAACCTTGCCTAGCAATACAAGTATTGGTACCTCTTGGTATAAGTCATATTAATACACTCTATAATGTTATCGAAATCCACATCAACCTTATTGGCTTATTATCCCACTGCTGCACTGAGTGAGATTGTGCACAGCAGTAGCAGAATCGGGGAAAGCTCTGGGATGCTTCTCTGCTGATATGGAAACCACTGTGGGAACTTCACTGAACAGACCAGGCTCTTACCCTTTTAATTCAAACAGGTAAGAAATAACAGTGGCAGCACCAAATGTCTTGAATTTGTATTTCAGGGCCCAAACTCATATTAAATATCCACCTATTTCTAGAAGGTGGCATTTTCACATGATCATTTTTTCCCTAGCAGAGCCAGGCTGCAAGCTTGCATGCTGCCAACAATTTTGGCACAGCTGCAGAAAAAGGGGATGCAGGACCTCCTCCTGCCTCTGTCTCAAGTTGCACGGGTGTTTCTTCAGCAGCAATATAATTTTAAGCAGCATTTGGTTCCAGGTACTTACTTCCAACCCCGCTGTACCTACTAGACCACCTGGTCCAAGCATTCATGTACCTTTGCGGTGAGCCAGATGGGAAAAATGAACCAGATTAAAATGAACCCAGCAAGACCCACCCCCAAAAGAACAGCATCTCAGGAGAATAAGCATGGGCTGTGGGGAGGGGTAGGAGGAGTAGGAAAACCCCTTTCTACAGCGTGGATTGGGAATCTACACTCTGAAAAATATTGGAAGTAGGAGACTAAAGAAAAATGAGGCAGAAGCAACAGGGAAAAATAGTGGCCAAAGTGTCTGATTTTTGTTCCAGATTGCTCCTATCATTCTTCTCATGTAGAGGAATGAGGGGAAAATTAATTTAACCAAGAGAATGGCTCTAAACTTATCTTCCCACGTTCAGCCCAAACCTTGAGCTCTACTATGAAATTCCCCAAACAAGGGCTTGCTTAGACCATGTTGTGTTATAAGTCAAGTTAGTGGAAACTATCAGTTGGGATTTGAGTGTAGGATTGTGTGGAGCTCCAGGGATATTCCAGTGAAAGGATGTTCTTTTCCAAGTCTGGTCAGAACCAAAGAGTCCCCCAGGGAAATAACAGGCTTCGCAATTCCAGGTATACTTCCAGATCAAAGATACTCAGTCACTCAAAGTGACTCTCCTGAAGTTTGTTTTAGTAAATTATGAGGAAGTCTACGAGAAATTTCAGTCTAGTAATACTCTAAAGGGGCCTGCAAAATCTAGCCTTCGATTACTGTGAAGATCTTCAAATTCAGAAGAAATGCTACCACTACCACGTCATGCCCCTTTCCCGAGTAGTCAGGCCTGGCAGGCTCCTGCAGGGACCCTTGGCTTTAATTTACACATTACTCCATCTAGTGGCCTCAGGGTTCCAGCATCCAAGAGTTTAAAACTCTGCCCTGGTACCAGCTGGAATTCAAACCTCTGCAGCAGCTTTGCCATCACCACTTTAGCCTCCATCTGTTAAGAAGAAAAGCAAACTCATCATCAGTGACAGCAAATACAGCTTTGACTGCACCTACTACTTGAAGTCAGTGTATTATGCCATTCTACTTTGTCAATATAGAGATTTAAAAGTTAAATGTTCCTCTCAATGCAGCTGGCTGAGTTTGGGCAGGAAGAGTTGTCACCTGTGGCCTCCTGGATTTGATGACAACAGACAGGCACTAAGATCGGTCCTTGCGTTTGTGCATTAACCCCATTTTGGAAATCAGAGTGTAAAACTAAGCACTCTAACCTGAAGATTTTGAGCACTGGTGCTTAGATGAACTCACAGCACATACCCAAAGAGCTGGCCTCCTATCACCCTTCTGAAATGCTGCCATGCTCATGTATTTCCTTAAATTGTTCCTCCCATCCACACAGCCCCCTCCTCACCTTCTCAGTGACAGCCTTGGCTTGTGCCCTTCTGCCAGCTGATGTTTTCCCTCCCTTGACTCTGCCAGCTGCAGCCACGGGACAGTCCCTAAGAGCCCCTGTACACCCATCCTGTGTCTGCAAAGGGATGTTGACTGGGATTCCCACCAGGGGGTTTGGATTCAATCTGGGTGACCCAAAACAGTTCAGAGGGAGAGCAGCCTGCTGTCCCCTCCCCTGCAGACAGCTTGGCTGTATGTGCACATGGGTGACGTGGGATCAGTTCAGTACACGTACTCCTGCTCACATGATAGTGTTTGAGAGATGCCCTGTTGTGGGCACGCTGGGGATCCTACCTCGAGAGCAAAGAGGGTCAGTGCACCATCAGCATGGCCCTTGGTTCCCCACCACCAGCCACGGCCAGCACACCCCAAGCTTGCTAATGAAGCGTCATTCCAGGCCTCTGCTTACCTGTGCAAACACCTGCCCGATGCAGGATCGGGGTCCCAGAGAGAATGGAAAATAGCAGTAATATGGCCTGCAAAGAAAAATGTTCAGAACTGTCACTCTGACAGCTTGGTTGTAAAGAAACAAGCAAATATTTCATCACAGCAGCAAGGAAATGGTCTAAATACTACCTCACCTAGCTGACTTGTTAAGAAAATCTCCAAATTAACATTTTTTTTCTTCAGAGCAGCAATATAGCTCTGCAGCATGTTTCCTCATCATCTCCACTTACTATATGGCTCAGCTCACAGAGCTGTTTTGGTGCGTGCAAACCTTCCTTCAAAGCTGAATGTCAAGCATACTCTAAATGCTCTCCAGGCTGTTGTAAGGACATAATGATCCACCCAATTATTGCTCCTTTGGGCAGCTCTGAACCATGTGAGGGGGTATGTGGTTCAGGAAACGAGACTAACAGGTTGAAGTAAAGCCCCTGACTCACAAAGTAGTTAGATGCTGGGATCAGCACCAACTGCTTAGGTCACTGGTCCCTCCTACTGCACTCCCACCTACTGATTAGACTTAGGCTGCCTGTCCATGTGGCTGAACAGCATCTTCTGTCCCTCAGCCCCTTGTCCCCTCTCTAATGTGGAGACACTTCGAGCATCCTGGGGACATGGCTGTCACGCATTAAATGTTTGTATTGCACTGAGCAATGTTTGTATTGAACTTTCACCTCAATATAAACATACAGTAACATTAGAACTGGTCTTTTTTGTAAGGTATCATGTGGTCTAAAGAACTTCTGAACAAAAGTTGAACATGATCACTCTCTATCTGCATCCAAATAAGGATTTACTGTTACTCATACTTGAATGGAAAAATGTTTTATTTTACTTTTCTTTTCCCCTTGAAATCTCTTCCTGTAGTGGTTCCTTACTACGTACTTAATAACCTGGGAGTAAAAAGAAACTCACTTAGGTGCATCTTTGCTAAATCGGTCTGGATTGAAAGTGAGTGGATCCTTGAAATATCTCTCCATCCTTCCCATTATATAAGTGCTGAACTGTCAAGAAAGAGTTCATTTGCATTAGTCAGGAGCAGCACACTGAAAATGCCTCTTTGCTGTCCCAAGTACAAAACCATAACTGCCATTTAATCCCCAGGCAAAACCAATCCAGAGACCCAATTCGCATCCCAGTTTTGGCCAAAATTTCAGAAAGGCCAGTAGAAATATACCCAGGAAGGCTTTTGGCTCTCTGATACACAGACCTCTTATGTTCAGATAGATTGCAGCAGCTAAAAGCTGCTGATGGTAGACAGCACTCACAACAAGCACTGTGTTTGCAGGAATTCTGACACCACTGATGACATGCTCCTTCTCCATCCAGCGCACTGTCCCTGGGACAGGTGGGTACAGCCGCAGTGATTCCTTCAAAACCTGAGTCCACAAAAAGCACAAAAGGTCAGTTAGTTAATACGGTGTAGGAAGCAGGAAAAAAATTAATTACCTCCCTATGGCCTTTCACTTTGGCTAAATAGGAGCTTTTGACTTGTGGAACAGATGCTGGTGTATCTGCCTTGGAATCCTGTGGGCAAAATAAGTCATCTCCTTCAGGCCTCATTCTTTCTTATGACTGCTACAATACAGAGAAAAAGAAGCAAAATCCACTAGAGATGCCATGCATCGAACAGATCTAACACCTCAAGTCAGGTCAACAGCTACGTCAAAAAGTACTAGGAAGCAAATTCAAAGAGAATATCTAGACATGAAGTCTCATGCTCCCGATGAGCTGGTTTTGGCACTGGCTGCCATGAGGATGGGTGGTTGCTCCCACCTCCTTCCCACTCTCAGCCCTGCGTTCCCGTTCCTGCCTTTGTCCTGCTGCTGCTGCTTGGGGAGCTGAGCCAGGTCAGAGCACCAAAATGACAAAAAACAACCTAGTGAAGGAAAATGAACAGGGAACAGTGAAAAAAAAAAAATGGAATGAGACCATTTCTTTTGGTGGCAGTGAGCTGTAAGAATGGCTTATTTCATCAAAATGAAACCTAATTAACAGTGCACATTAGCATCGCACTGCAAATGCAATTAACAGTGTGTATGCACGGGTGGATTAATGAAAAAGCAGCATGGACAAAAGGATTCAGAATTGCCTGAGCAACAGGAGAAGAGACTCATGGTCTCTGATACTCCAGTGATGGACTGGCTCTGACTGTGATTTTAGTTGTACAGATCCAAGCTTGTTCTGTTAAATAAATGATCTGCTTTGAGAGGCTCTCATGTGATCTGTCTTAAAACTGAAAAGCTTAGATACCTCATCCTAATTGGAGTGGTATAATTGTGATGGTGTTTGAAGAAGTCCACGGAAACCTGCTGATTTCTGTAATCACACAGAGATGCCTTTTCTTTATAAGAAATACACCCTTGAAATCTATCCGCTGCCAAAGAACAGTGATTTGTGGGATGGGATATGGAAAATGCTAAAACACCATCACCCACCTTGGCAGACAGTTTAAGAGAAAAGTAATCATGGCAGACTACTAACATCACAGGGAAATTTAAGCAGAATAGCTGCCAGGACTGTGATTTCAGCCTCTCCTGATGGTCTCCCCCCATCTTGTAAAAGGATACGCAACACAAAGACCGGCAAGTAGCCAAGCCCTGGCTTTGCAGTTCATTACCAACTGGCACTTCTATATGCAAGACCTCTTTTAGGACAAAACTCTCTCTCCATCCTCAAGTGACCGAAGAAGGTTTGAAGACTGAATAGTAAAAAACTGAAATTACAAAAACCAGTCATTATTTTTGGGTGTCCTATGGTACATGGTGAGATCATAGCTGGAAATGATTTAATATCAAGCAAAACCAGAGCTGTGAGTTTGGGAAGCACATGGGGTTCACACACAGGTTGGGCTCAAAGTTGCAAACTCATTTTAAAATATAGCTATGGTTTCAGCTTAAACAGGTATTAAGCAACTCTGCTCTAGCTCCCAGCTTGATAATAATTAAGGAAAGCAGTGAAGTAATCGTGTGGGGTTTTGGTAAGAAATTTGAGGAGCATCCTTCCCAACAAGGCCGGGCTTCTACAAATGGCTGATGGTACCTGCTTGCTCACTCTCTGGGGACGAAAGCCATCAGGATCAAATCTTGGCAGTGTTCTTAAAATTTTAAAAGTGTGGGGCTCCTCCATGACGTGACAGAGGTGCTACCAAACAGCTCTGTCTGGTATTTTACCTCACCCCTATAGTACCTGTGATAAGTAGGTGAGTTTGCCAAGATCCTCATAGTCAATATCTCTCTTGGCACCAAGAACATCATCCACTTCAGCCTGAAGCCTGCAGTTAAATTAAAAAATGTTAGCTGCAGACACCCACTTCTTGTTAAGCAAGTTGATAAATTACATTTTTTACTTTCCAGACACTGAGTTGGACTTTGACTCCCACCTGCAGGCAAAATGCCTACTAATTCCCAGCCAGCCTGCCTGAACTTGTGCCTCATATTGGATGAAGCAATGTGTGTACAGTGCACTCCAATCGGGTAGGATTTGGGACTAGTATGTATAAAGGCTTTGGAAAAAAACCCACCTAGATGAAACTGAAATAATTAATCTTAAGGGTTTTTTTAAATTCTAGGTATACTGGGTCTATGAAACTGTTTATTTTGGAAGCAAGGTTAGAATTTATTGGGAATTGAATTTTCAATAATCCTTAAGTTCACCTTGAAATTAACAGCAAGTTGGACTTGCAAATTGGAATGCACATACCTTTCCAGTATTTCAGGATGCTGAGCCAGTGCCATTACTGTAAATGACAGCTGATTGGCAGTGGTTTCATGACCTATGACACCAAAAATCAGTTTAAAGGTTAGTATGAAATAATAATGATACAAAGATGGCCTACTAGTGTGACTGTGAACAGGAAACTTTGAAAGTCAGGCCCTGAATGTTTTGTTTCAAGTATGCTAGAAATTAAAGGAAAAACTAAAAGGGATGTAAATTCCACATTAGGAGCTTTCAAGAATGACAAGAACAAGACATAGCTGGTAAAGATACGAACCGTCTTGCTCAATTCGCTGCAGTGGCTGCATACAGCACCTACTGGTTGTGAGCTCCCTAACAGAAGAGCCAGCGAGGTTCAATATCTGCCTTGTCATATTATGGGACACACAGTTCTGCTGAGAAGCAAGGGTTTACTGGTTTTGAGGGAAAACAGAGCTTCTAACCATCTTCCTTTGAAATGCATGCTGTACATGGCTGGTTTTCATTTTTTCATGGATAGGAATATGTATTATTTTAAAGCATTACAGAAAATAGATTTCTGCAAAGATGTGTTTGTTGCAGTAATATCTTTCTTGTGAAAGAGCAATGTTTTGACCTCACCTTCTTAAGAACCTAAATCCTACTGGCTTGCAAGATTGATTTTTCTACCTTGTTTACCTCACATATCATCCTGGCCCCCGCTTTTTCTGACAGGCTTGACAGTGCCCTCACCTACCAAGCTAACTAATGCTCTTTAAGATAAGAATGGCATTTAACTGTGTGGGTGAGGTGACATAAGGACACGTGGAATGTGTTACAGATGCTTTCAGCGGGGTTTAGCAGGATCTGGGAGGCAGAGCCAGAACTCCATAAGGAATAGCCTTGCACCCCACCAGGCAGCACTACCCTCTGCACCACAGGTTGGAAACCACTGGCCTGGCATTATTTGCCGTGCTGATACAACTGAAGGAGGATAACACATCATTTGCCTCTGAGAAAACCTCGCCCAGCTGGTCCTACGCCAGTGTAACAGTGTTGTCTTCCAACCAAGTGACTCCTGGCTACAGTATCATCACATGGAGTGAGCAAGGATGTTCACCATGACCCTGTAGACCGCCCAAGAATGAGTAGTGTCCCACAGGACATATGCAAGCACTAAAATAGCTACCAACCCGCAACAAAGAAAGTGATAAAGTTATCCAGGATGTTTTCATCATCTCTAGTTTCCTCCAGAGCTGTCAAGAGAAAAAAGCAAATGAGATTACAAAAGGCCCTTATGTCCCAGCTGGAACAGCCAGAATGCTCTGACCAGTTTTGCACATTTTGACTGAGGTGGCATTGGAAGGGGATGCTGAGTGGGCAACTTAGTGGTGACTTGCAACCAATGTTTGATCCAACACAAAGAAACAGGGAATTTTCAAAGCAACTTTCACTATCTTCAGTGTGAAAAAGACATTAAAGGAGGATCAAAGTTCAGATCCCCATAACAATCCTCCCAAAACCTCACGGCAAAACATGCCACAGAAAAATTCGAACAGCAACGTGTCCCCTACCATCTCCTTTCAGTATCTGTGTCAGAATATCCAGTGTGGCTTCCTTCCCGTTCTGAACAGCCTCCCTCCTTCGGTCAATGCACTCCTTCCCCACACGCCGCAGCAGCCTCACGCTCTCCTTGACCTCCTTTACCAGCTTCCGTTTCCCTGGTATATACTGTATACAGAATTTCTTCAGTCATTTTATTCCTTTCAATGGTGAAAAATATTGCCAGTGTTATTTTTCAAGTGAGCACCTTGCTTTCTACTAAATGACATTTGTCACAAAAGCGTCTGCTTTCCACAGAACAAAGTGAATGTCCCCAAGGTGAAGGGTTTGGGCTGAAGTGAGAAATATTTCAATCTGTGCATGCTGATGTCCTGCCTTGTTAGAATTGATGTTTTGGGCACCATGAGCAAAATTCCTCACCTTTCCATGGAAAGGAACTGCAACATGCAACACAATCTCACCTCTGGGTCCAAAAAGGAAAACAGGAGCTCTAAAAGCCAGAAGTACTGCTTTCATGAGAAACTATGGAATGATTTCTAACTTAAATATTTCATATTACATCCATAATGAACTTGAGTTGAAAGATATGTATTTTTTTAGGGTAAGCATGTTCATGTTTCTTCCACAGTGAGTGAAGGCTGCCAACCTTCTTGGAGAAATGGCAAAAAACTCAATTTTTGCAGTGATGGGTGTGAAAGTGTAAAATCATACGAGAAGATGACACATGCAGGGGGCAACAGAAGGCAGAAAGACAGAAAAGGAAGCATTAAATGTTAATGTTATTTTGGAATTGTTTTAAAGCATGAATGAATTTTATCTTGATGCATGCTGGAGGGAAAGAGCTACTGATGACTGTTTCCCCATCATATATGGACCTTGCACAGCTCCAGCCTGCTAACCCTCACAGGAGCACAGGCTCCAGCTGGACGCCAGGAGAGAGGATTGAAGTGAAGAGCATACAGACCTGCAAGAAGGGGATGCGTGCCTTGGTCATTCCCTCCAAAACCACAGTCACAGCATGTGGGAAAGGTGTCTGGTCATCGCTCAGTGTGTTTAACTCTAAGCCAAAGGCTACCTGAGGAGCAGGAAAGAAAAAGGCAACTGGTTGCATCCTCCTAGCTCCCTGGGGCTGGGGTGAAAAGGCAGGACAGCCTCACACTGCCACCTTTTCTCCTAAAAATACCTCAGGCTGGATCCTGCCTGGCAGGAGGCTGCAAGGGAAGGGTAATACCTACATTACACTTCCCCTCCTTATTTGGGGGGATTAATCATTTGCTATTACTCTCCATTCATCTGAAACTGTTTTGCATTCAGAAGGGAAAGGCCAGCACAAGGCAGACTTCATGCTAACATATAATGGTAATAATACAACATCCACACATGAAACAGCACCAGTGTGCCCCTTCTGGCATGGAGGGATGGGAGGTATGTGGCTGTAAGGGCTTTTGCAGAGGGTCCCCATCCTGCAGGCCACACCTTGGCTGTGCAGACCCTTCCCTAACTGCCTCGTCCTACGGCTCAGCCTGAATGGAAGTGGCACAGTTAGTCTTTTGGCTCTTCTGGCACTGCTGGGTAAAGGTCTTGTTCCTTGGCTCCAGCTCCTGATCCCATCCTGCTGCTGGTACCCGTTATTTCCATTCCTTCCTGCCAGTTGCAGAAGAAACAAGAAAATGGACAGCTGGTACCTTTGCAACGATATCCATAGTCACCCGGCTCATCAACGTCAGCATGCTGAACTCTTTTTTTCCATCTGCCTTTTCCTCTAGCTTCTCCATCAGCTCCTCTGCTTTTTCATTAAAAGTTCCCATCAGACCAATCAGGTAGCTGAATAATCAATAAAAATGAACGATGGGGGCTCTGGAGAGGACATCTTTGCTCAGGCAAAAATACTTTCATTATTTTCCATAGAAAATTGTAAAGATTTTTTTTTATTTGTAATAATTATTTCTTAATGTTTTAAAAATTGAACCGATAAAATTAGCTGAATTCTTATAGCAGCCCTGCTTCATCCTGCCATGTAAACAACAGCTGCCATGGCAAAGGGCTTTGGCCTGTGCATGTGGAAGCAAATACACTTTATCTATAGACCCTAAACACAATGCATCAAAGCACACACAGGCAAACCAGACCAATCCCCTGCTTATCAATCACACCATCTCTCCCATAGGGAATCACTCAGGTGAATGATGAGGCTTGCCCAGGTGAAACCCCTGAGGTCTGTTTTCTGACAGCATAAGGCAGTCATCACCACTCTCCCGGAGACGCAATGCTGGGACCTTTCTGACATCACTGAGCTCATAGGGGTGTCACTGCCCCCTGGGAAGTCTAGATAAATTATACTTGTAATGGAAATGGTGTGCTGAACTCCGAGTAAAACATGATTTGGGCACTAAGTGGGTTTCTTCTCTTTCTAAATATCAAATAATGGATCAATGACAGGGGGGATCATGAAAATACAGTAGAAATAACAGCTAGGCCATCCCAGAGACATTTGCCTTACGTTCGGCTGAAAGCTGGATCCATTATCTTCCGCTGCTTGTGCCAATGCTCGTGGTTGCAAACAGTTACCAAGCCATTCCCTAGAAACCTAGCGTTTACAAAAACAAGGAAAGGAACAGTTCTCAGCAAGGGAGCCAGCCAAACCATATGTAGTCACAAAGACAATGCTTCCACATCTGCATTCTTGTATTTCTTCCATGTGTTGGGAGCACCATGCTGCTTTAAGTACACAGTTGTTGCATCACTGTTTTGCCTGGTAGGTGTGGTCTGCTGAGTCCAATAAGATGCTGATTCATTACAGCTGTTACGCAAATAATTAATAAAATAATTGGATTATTACATCTTTAAAAGCTTCAGGCTAACAGAGAAAAATCCCCTTTTTTGTTACTGTGCTTAGGAGATAGAAACTCCCATGCCTTAAGGAATAATTCAGTGCTCTAAAATCTAAGTGAGAAGTTTGATGATGGTCTTGAGCAAACTATTCTGAGACTAACTGAACATCTACAGGGGAAAAAAAAAATATATGACCAAAGTAAAAAAATTCCAATATAACCTCCTTCCTGACGGGAAGACATTTGACTTGACACATAATTTAATATGTACATGCTGCTTATGTATGTCTGGAATCAGTCATTAATCCCTACACTAAGGTAAATGGTCAGAGTCAAACTAAGTGTCATGCCTGTGATATTATTAATCTTTCACTTATTTTCAGATCACAATGGCTTCAGATGAGTTTCACCTACCTCTCACCAAATAAGCTGTAGATACGACCGTACACCAGACGATCCTTTGGGTACTGTGGTGACATCAAGAACTCCTAAAATCAAATCTCAGGTCAGTGAATACTGAGTGTGATCCATTTCTCAGACAAAACATAAAAAGCCACTTACACATTCACTGTTTTCCTCCTGTAGCAATAGTCTGAAGACTAGATGAATTATTTGGTGTGCCCCAAATCCCCCGTTACCATGCCGCTAGCTTCTTTTGCATGCCTCTAGCACTTTTTGTCCAATGACCTGAAATATCACTCTGTGGTTATTGCAAAGATTTAGAGGAATAAATTCAGTCCCTTGTGCCTCACTCGTTTGAGATATTAAGCTCTTGCAGAGAGTTTGCTTTTCAGAAATGGTGGATGCTCACTCTACTGCTTAAATAAAGGTTACAAAGTAAATGAACTGATCAAGGAATAAAATAAATCAGGACAGCCCGGAGAGCTGAGCACTTCACCCTCCTAACCCTGCCAGAGCCACCCTCCCTGCAGGCACAGGCTGGCTGCACCGTGCTGCCCTGAATGTCAGGCACCCCTCTCTCTTTCTGGAGTGACAGGCTGAGCCTCACTGTCGATTCAGCTTTATTTTGTAGTACCTTCACTCCTTCAGGACTCAGAATCATTACTGAGACTCTGTGAAAGGCATTAAGCCGTACAATAGGTCCATATTTCTCTGCCCTATAAGAAGAGAAGGAAAAAGGAAAAAAATAATTATGGTACAAATCACCAATATGTAACATTTCAGACCTAATAAACTCAAAGGACCAAAGTAGCAGGTACTGGGAACTACTGCAGAATTCAGCAAATAAAGCCATTAAGACAAAGGTCATTCCTCTCTCTAGCTTCTCTACCAACCTTGTGAATGATGCTAAATATGTAATTCAGGGCCTCCGTGTCTTGATTTCTGAGTTTGTGCTACAGGGTTACCCCATCTGATGTTACTGATGTGTCTCAACTTACCACTCCAGGAAGAGATCATGCATAAACTCCTGTTTCCTCAGCATTCTCCACAAGATCGGCAGATGTCCAAATAAAAAGCTGCAGAAAATTAAGGTTAAGATTGTCACGAGGATGCCAACATAGGGCTTTGTATAGACTGTAATCCTTGTTGCTCAGTGAAGCGATATAAGTGTTGCTCCTGTTTTCCTCCTTGTAAGGAAATACGAAAATAACACCTAAGCTGTGACAATGCCCAGCCCTCAAGCAGGTAAGCTGGGGACCGGGGTCAGGCTAGTGCACTCGGGTGGCCAGGAAGACCAGCGTAGAGATGCAGGACAAGGTGGTTTTTGCTGCTGTATTATAGGAGATGTTTGGGTCTAGGTAGAAGATCCCAGCAAACTGCTTTGCTCTTTTCCTAGCTGACTGAATCTTAACTGCAACTATTACGTTTCTGTACATGCAACAGACTTTTGCATTAAATATTCTTTAATACATGCTGAGCTCTGATAAGTGTCACTTCAGTTCTGTCAATGGTGTTAAACTGAGTAAAATTAGGAATGGTCTCCTCCTGTCTAAAGCCGTATCACCTCAAATGCTGAAAAATAGAGGACAACCTAGAAGGATAATCACTGGTTAATATGGAAATTGCAGAAATTAATAAAAAAGGTTAACTCTTCAAATACAACAGCTGTATTAAAAAGTTAAATTCCTTCCTTCAGCTGCAAGTAGAGAATTCCCACTGGCTTTGCATACATCTGAAGATTTGGCCAAGCTCCTCTCTAAATGAAACCAGCTGTGCTCAAGATCTGTTTTCTACTTGAGAGACAGACAGCCATGCTATCACCCTTTTCAATATGAAATAGCAGAAAAACAAGCTCTTATTTCTGTTGGAACCAGGAGATGCTTAAAATAACAAGCACTCAAAGTTACCTAGTACCTACAGAAACTTTTAATCCTTCACTTGACTCCTCCATTGTAACTGGACTCCAAAAAGATGTGAAAACCCCAAATATAACAGACAAGTTCTTCATTAGAAAAACCTCTAGAAACCGCTCTAAACATGTCATTCAGGGCATCTGCGCCTTAATTTCCTTATTTGTGCAACAGGGCTACCCCATTCAATGTTACTGATGTGTCTCAACTTACCACTGCAGGAAGAGATCACGCATAAACTCCCATTTATGCGGGAAGAAGCACACGAAGCAAGGTCCTGCTCATGGCTCCCCTTGTGTGACACATGAATCCTCAGAGATATTTTTCACCACCTGTCCCATCACTACCTAATTAACTGAAGTGTTACAACAGGCCTAAAACACTAATCCGCTAATGAGAAGTCCCAATTACTTACTGCATGCCACCAGAAAAACTAAGCAAGAGCTTGGTTTGGGATATATAACAATGTGGCACTATGATCTGAAAACATGTATTTGCAAATAAATCCCTTCTGTCCATCTCTTGTTATTAAATCTTTAATATGATACAAGGAGCAAACCCCTCTCCACAGGTGAGTCATGCATGCGGTAAAAATGACACAAAGACACTAGGACTCACTTTTCCAGCCTGTTCTGCACAAGTCTCCTTTAGAGATGTGCTGTGTCAGTCGTGATAAAATAAATCAGTCCAGGAAATCAAGAGTGTTAATGTAACCTTGTCATCACCCAGCCATAAGACCTTAGACAAAGTCTGAGGTTTTGATAAGATCCTGTTGTACTTCATACTAACATAAGGCTTTCACAAGCTTTTATCAAAGGGAAAGAGCCAAGGGCAAATAAAAAGTCACTCATCTGGGACAGAGTAACACTTTGAAAGGATACAGGCTGTGGACTGCCTGGATGGGGAGCAGGTCTGCTGACCACAACCTTGGCAACCTTGGGTGCTGGTCCCCGTGGGCAGCAAGCTGGACACAAGCCAGCCTTTGCTTTGGGTGCTGCTCTTCTCCAGTTTACCAGATACAGCTTCAGCTGAGAAGTATTTAGATTTGGATGAAATTACCCTTTCAGAGTAATTTGGGTTAGCAAGGACCTCTGGAGACCACCAGTCCAGTCACCTGCTCCAGGCCAGTCAACGTCAGAGCTATGGCTTTGCCCAGTCACCTGTGACAGTGTTTGAGCACCCTGAGTGAGGGTGTTGCCTTGCACCTAAACTGGGATTTCCTTTGAGACAACTTGTGCCCATTGCCCTTTGTCCTTCATTTTGCAACTCTAAGGAGAATCTGGCTCCACCTTCTCATAACCACCCATTACGTAGCTGAAAGCAAGCCCAGCTCTCAGCCTCGTGGGCATCCTGGCTGCCCTTCACTGGGCTCACCAGCTTGCCAATGTCTTGTACTGGGGAGACCACCATCACACAGAACACACCACTTTTCAGAGGTAGAGGTATTTGATTTTCCTTACCCTGGGCACTTAGGAGTGGAAGTGTTTGTGCAACAGATACTGAAATGGGGGTCTTGGACTGTCCCTGGCAATTTAAACTTTTGAAAAGCTATGAAATACTGTGGGCTCGCATGACATACAAGCTTCCACCTAGACATACCAGTACCGGAAACCTTCCTGAGAAGGATTATAGGCTGATCACCAACATCAGGCTTCAAACCCTGAAGCAGGGGCAGAAAAGCAGCCACAGGATCCCTTGAACTGACATTACTCTAAGGTGCTACTTCACACCTTGAAATAAGCCTAAGGACAAGCAGGTTCAGGTATGACAAGATCCATCCTCTCTCTAATCTTAGTGTCTGACCCTGATTACCCAGGTAGGCTGAAACTTGGGAGTTAGGCAGCGAAACCTGCTATCCCTGTTTGTGTAAGAAAGTGTCCGTGCAATGCCTCTTCCTGTGGTGTGTTACAGTGGGGATGTGCACCCAAAGGTGAGGTTGAATGGGAAGGTCACACACTCCTGCAAGAATTGTGTCTCCTTGTGACAGTGCCACCAGCTTTCTCACTGCCCCTTATCACTTAGAACAAGGCTTTTTGGGGCAGAAGCCAAACACCTGGCTCATGAGGAGAGCAGGGAAGGTGCCTGGTGGAGTTACGTGTCAGTGTGCCTCTCGGAGCTGCGCTGGTCCAGTGCAGAGAACCCCTCCTGCATGGCCGATACTGCCTGTCACGTCCCTCTTTGGCGTCACGAACAAACGCGCGGCTCTGACGGGCACCTCCAAACCGCTCGTTTCATGCCGCTGTGGCCAGCTGGAGTGACCCTCGGGGGAGATGGATGCAGGCCAGCATATCGCACCCCGCCAGGCCCGGCCGGCTGGGCAGGTCGCCCCACAGAGATACAGGCCGGAGCGTTTGTTTTCTGCCCTGTCCCTTCCTCACGGCCGCAGCCGGGGTGCAGGCTTTGCCGCTCGGCCTGGCCCCCGGGACACCAACGGTGGGGGCTCGCCCTGCAGACGCCTGAAAAACCCACCCCGGGCCGGCGCGGCCTTGCCTGCCCCTTACCTCTCCCGCGGGGCGCCGGGAATATGGTCGTACTTGGCGTGGATGTATTTCACGTAGCAGCAGTACAGACCGAAGGCCAGGAAGGAGAGGGCCGCCAGCAGCCCCGCCGCGGTCCCCAGCGCCGCCACCGCCCGCGGGCAGCCGGCACCGGCCTCCGGCCCACCGCCCCCTTCCCCGGACATGGGCCGGCCTGCGCGGCCGGGAGAGGCCGCGGCGGTGGGGAGGCCTGCGGGGAGGCCTGCGGGCAGGGCCGGGCGGGGCCGCTTAAAGAGCCCGGCGGACCCCGCGGGCCCGGAGAGCTATCGGAGCCCGGCAGCGGGCCCGAGTGCAGCTGCGCGGGGAGCTGCTTCTGGATCTGTAGCGGTTTATGTAGAGGTGCGTGCGGTGGAGGTGGCGCTTCGCACAACTACATGAGGAGGCCGGGAGGGGTGCTGCACCTGCATACGTTTGTTTACAAGAGTGTTTTAAATAAGGCTTATCGCTGAAGGCTCTTAGACAAACCAGGCTCTTGCAACACAAAACAGGCAGAGGCTCTGCGTTGACTTTTAACTGTATAAAGTGCAAGATGCAGAGGGAATATATACTCTTGATGCCTGTAGGAATCAATAGATGAAGATTTTTCAGAGCGGTCTGCTTTGGGGCCTGTGTTATACAATGTACTCGTTCATCATCTGGGCACGGGCATGAGAGCTGATACAGTTCTATTCAAAATACGGGATCTAAAGCTGACTGTCACAAATTGTGTAAGGATCACAGGACACAAGGGACCAAGGCATAAAATGGTGGAAGTTAATTTCTGGTAAATGAAAAGTAATGCACGAGGAAAGATAAACTGTGTATTATACACGCATATTCAGTGGTGGCACCTGTTCAGGAAACATCAGCCTAATGTTCAGTACAGACCAAATAAGCAAGCGGAGCACAGGCAGTGATTAGAAATGGATGAGTGAGCAAAACAAGATGCTTGACTGTATTAGTATATAGAGGACTCTATAAATTTAAAGTACAACCACTGTGTATACATACTGCATGTGCTTTTCCTCCTAGAAATAGAGACAGAAGAGATATGGCTTGCAAACTGAAAAAAGGATGACTGAGGTTATGACAGGGGTCTGGAAAGCCATCAGTGGTTTGGGGATGAATAGGGACAAATTAATCATTACTTTGTATAATTTGGGAACAAGGAGGCAGCCACTGAAGTGATCCAGCAGCAGATCTAGAAGAGGAAGAGATTTTTCACAACAAATTGCTAAATGGAGGAACTAATTGCAACATCTGTTGTGGAGGTTAAATTAATAAATCGTCTCACAAGAAGCCAGGGAAAGATGGGGGCCCCTTCCCCATGTTGCAGCCCCTGCCTCCTGAATCCTGTGCCCACTCTACCCCTTCAGAGGTTGCCCACCTTGCATGCCAGGCAGCAGACACTCCACCATCCCCACTCTGGCTGTGGCAAGGGAAGGAGAAACAGGACACCCTGCTGCCTGTTAAAGAAAAGCAGCACACCACCTGCCTGTCAGGCTTTCACAAGACAGCTCCATTCACATACTCTTTCTCCATAAAAGCCTTACTCAACTGGCTGGAGACAAGGTACTAAGCTACCTGGATTTTTATCATGTCTGTTTTGCTGCCTGTGGATCTCTGACATTTCTCAGCACCATGTGAGGCTGCTGCAGGACTTTTCATCCCTGACATTTCCAATGGGGTGCCTTTTCCCTGCTCCCCTCCAACTGAAGCTCCCATATGGCTGTGCCTCTTCGCAGCAGGAAGGAGAGGATGTAATTCCTGGCACCCCCTGTTTTTGTCCATCTGATGCAGCGATCATCTGCCAGGCACCTCCAAGAGTCAGCTCACTTTGGTTTTCAAATTGAAGAAATGACTGTGCTAAAAGGCCAAAATCTGTGGGGTTTCCTTGGTTTTCTTGCACAATTTCTGCTTTCATTTGAAACTAGCAAATCAGAGAGAGCAGAGAATGCTGTCAAAGCAACAACAGCACATGCTGGTATAAGGTGAGAGATTTTTATCTCTGTTACCTTTTTTTTTCAAACTGTAAATAATTTTGAATGGGCTGTTAATGACACAGAGGCAGCAGGGAGTCAGTGGTGAAGGGGAATTTAAGGAGCACCTGTAGCAGCCTTGTCTTCCTGCCTTATTTATGCTGCCTTCCCGTGTGGATGCATGCCCAGTAGGAACCCAGTGGCTAACACCTACTGGCCAACTTCAGCGAAATTTGCCATGGAAACACAGATCACAAGATGCTCAAAACCCAGGCAGATGAAAGAAGTTGCACTGGCTTTATAGTGTGAGCTAGGCTAAAGAAAGCTTTGGTATTGCAGACCGTAGAGGATGACAGGGAATTTCTTTTGAAGTCCCTAGGAACCAGCATGTCTCCCAGCAGACATGGTCAAAGACTGCCCACCTCTGGGTTTTTTGGCCTGGGCAGGGCAGGAGTTGGGTGCTGTCAGCCCACTGAGTCCCCAGGGAGGTAGAAGGACCAGAAAGTTGTCATCAAACTGTGAAAGCTGTGAAAGCCTCTTGGGAGCTCCTGGGCTTTTACTTTTTGGTGGCCATGGTCCTTAGTGGAGGGTAGGAGGGACAACTGATGCATCCTAAGAGAACAAATACACCTGATCACTTCATCCATGGACTTGCATCCTGTGGGTGGGCAGGGCGGCTTGGCTGGACATGCTTGGTGGCCAGCATTGTCTTTCTGGCTTCACATGGCATAGCAGAAGAGTTCGGTGGTAATGTCACATTATAACCTCAGAGAAACACTAACTGGTGATAGTGGTCAAATGGTACAAAATGTTAGAAACCATTTGTCAGTATAGAATGGAGCAAAAGCTGGTTGTATATTTAAAAATATTGTTTGGGTTTCTGTTACATGTAATCTTAACATTGATTTTTCTTGAACCGGTGGTTTGAAATAATTGCAGCTACCCTGAAATGATTTTCTCTTCTGTTTTGGGTACATATGCTTTTGCACAGATTTTTTTTAATCTGGAAATTATGTTGTTGTTATGTTCTCAAAGACCAACAATATTATCTAACTACTGCTTCTGTTTATCTTAGTTGAAACTAGATTTTTTTTTTTTTTTGCCTGTAAAGGCTACAGTTTTATAACCTCTTGTTTTCAGAAAAAAAGCTAACATTCCTTCCCATCTGGTGAGGCAATATATATCATGATCTCATGATACAAATACCCATCACTAGGAAAGATACAACTAATCACAAGAATAGCACCACCCAGAGAAAGTGCTTAAAATCCAAAACTAGCTAATGAAACTATGTCTTTAAAGCCACTCAACTTCCTGATGAAACACTGATTTTCTGAGTTTCATCAATGTTTTTTTTCACCATATTTCAAGAATAGATTGTAACTATTTGCAAGGTATTCTTTCATTTGAAATCACTCTCAGAATAATTCCTGTGGAAAATTCCTGCTTGTACCTTGTTTGTGAGCAGTTCACAGGGAAGTGATAAAATATTTGGCATTTTATACATTTTGATGGGATAGAGAGGCCATGTAATATAGTTCTGATCCCTGTCTAGAACAGGCAAGGTCTCAGAATATATCTTTTCATGCAGATGTAATTATCAGCTGATAAACTTCCCTTCCCTTTTTATTCAGCCTGGGTAGATCACAGGAATTACTTTATATTTCAGGCTTTAAAGATAAGATTTAATAAAAACTTTTTTTTTTTTTTTTTTTTTTTTTTGGTATTCTAACAAGCTTTAATAACAACTTTTTTTGTATGCTAACGTTTTTCTACACCCTTGAGTGAAGGACATGATACCAAGGGACCACACTGTTATGTTTATTATCCACCCGGGAGGCACACACTGCACTAAGAAGGATGGAATGCAGGCTTGGGGCTACTGAACTTCTCTCTGTCACCTTTCTGCTGGGAACTGAACTGCCATCTCGTGGACATTTTGCCAACTTGCATATTCTCATAAACAAAGCAAGAACTGAACAGAAGAGCAGAGAGCTGGGAACCATCAACTGGTGTGAAGTTACAAGGTGAATTTGAAAAATTGATGGGACGCAGGGTTTGTCCAAACTCCTGCTCTCTTTTGCTTGTCTTTTCACAGCTATTTAGGTTTGAAAACATTTACTGCTCTCTCTCTCTCAATCCAGCATCATATAGGCTAGAAGTGAGGACAGCAAAGAAAAGGCACAGCATAGACATTTATTGTGCTGGGAAATGCCTTCTGCAGCACGCAGAGGGCTGGGTATCCTGGGGCAGTCAGAATTTACCAATGAAACACATTTCTAAATAAAGAGCTTTTAATTTTATTGCTAAATGCCTCCATCTGTTGTGTACTACTGGTTAAATGCACATGGTCATTAAATTGGTACCTCTCCTGGAGAATTTACAGTCTTAAGACCTCACTCCCTGCCTAAAAGTCCATATGGAACTAGTAGGGGTCTGGGACTAGCATGAGCACTGCACTTCATCCATCTCCAGCAGAAATGCAAACTTCAGGACTGGTTTTACTAGGCATTTCTTCCTTTCCTAGGCAGAAACACTATCCAGGTGGAATCCACGGAGTGACTGCTGTTTAAGGATTTCAGTCCTTCTGCCCAGCTCTAGCAGCTCTGCCACATGTGGGCAATCCCACAGGAAGCACTGTGTCCCACATGTCCTTTGTATCTGTATGCAGCATGCCTTCACTTTCCTCCTTTTGATCATCTCATGTCACTACCTGATCACTATTTGCTCATCATAGTCACTATTTTGTGGCGATCATAGTCGCTATATTGTGGAAAATAATGATGCCTATTAAAAGTGTGGCTTTTAATTGTGCAAAAGATAAACTTCTCTGCTCCAAGAATTGTAAAGTTCAGGACAGAAAATGTATATTCTCAGGCTTTCTTGCTGCATGACTACAGCTCAGCTTAACATTGAGTCTACCATAGCCTGAGAGTTCAGACAAACTCATATTTTGCATATGTTTGAACCCAGAATATGAACACTGTAATGCCAGCAGACCATTATCCAGCGCAGAGCAACACTGGCAGAGGAATATAACCAGATTTCAAACTATTAATTAAAGTACTCCTCCAAAACCTATCTTGTTCTTCTGATGGCCAGGTAATAATACCTGATCTCCCTCTTTTTTTTTACTATTACTGTGACAGACAGTGTGAAAAATAGTGAGGCAGATGAACTTATTTAAAGTAAGACTGTACAGAATTTTTCACCAAATATAGGAGAGACATTACCTTAACCTCCCTTCACTTGAACAGCCCATGATTGTTTCCCTGTTACTAGTCATTTGCAAGGTATGGGGAGATATTTGCTGCCGTGTGCTTATGGTTGCATTCATTCATACAAGAGCTCAAAGGAAAAACAAACAAACAAACAAACAAACAAACA